CCATTGACCTTCACATTGCTAAGTCAGATGGCCACTTCTCAGTTCTCATTGGACAAATTTTCTTATCAGCTTTTGGAATAATTGATACCTTTCATGAAACACATTCTCTACTTTGCTGCTGGGACACTATCTCACTGCCTGATTCTTCTTAGTGTTATCTCCTAAATCATCCTCATCTTCCCAACCTGCAAGCATTAGAATGCTCCAGGGCTCAAATCTCAGACTTCTAATATTTGTCTTTCTTATTACCCTCATCAGATTGCATGGCTTTCAATATTAGCTATATTATGATGAATCTGAAATTTATAGCTCCTGTTCCAACTGACAGATTTTACTTCTCAACACGGTCTATGTACTGTCTTCAGGTAACTCCACATTTCTCGACTGGGATGCCTGAGAGGTAGCCTACTAGAGTAAATGGCAACAGCATTCCCTTAGTTATTCAGTTCTCAAAGCTTGGGGTTACCCTTGATTCCTCTTCTCTTACATGCCATATCTAGTCCTTCAGTAAATCCTTTCAATTCTATTTTTAAATATATATTCTGAGTCTAATCCTTTTTTACTATTTTCACTGCTCCCATGCTATTTTATGCCACTATTATATCCCTAGCAGATTTTGCAAAATCTTCCTAAATAGTCACCCTATAAAACATCCCTTCCCTATTGCAGGCTAATTTGCATAATGTAGCCAAAGATGCCTTTGAAATGTATGTCAGATCATACCCTTCTGTCTCAAAATGCTTCAGAAACCTTACCCAGATTAAACTCTGAAGTACTATGTTCCCAATGCCCTACATGATCTGGCCCCAAACTGCTTCCAGCCCCTTCCCCTAATACTCAGACAACTGCCCACTTTGTTCCAGCCACACTCCTTTTCCAGTCCTTCCTCAACTTCACCAAGCAAGATCCTCTCTTAGAGTCTTTGCAAGTATAGTTTCTCTTCGCCAGAGATACTCTTTTCTCAGATTTCTGCATGAATCTTTCTTTCACTTCATTTAGCTCTCTTGCTTCAATTTTATATTTTAGAAAGTCCTTTCCCCCCCAGCCATCTGCATTCTTTGTGTCTTATCTTGTTCTGTTTATATACTTCAACCACTTATCAACAAAACAGTCTAGCTTATATATTTTTTTATTTTATTGTATTATATTTACCTCTGTAGGTTTAAAACATAAAATCCATGAGGATCAGAACCTGATTAGTTCTGCTCAATGTCTTCTACCACAAAACCCAAATGCCTTGAACATAGTAGGTGCCAAATAAATATGTAAATCAATTAATAAGTAAATGAAGACGGGATTCAGTTTGAGATATGTGAAGGCCTGTATCTGGAGACTTTGGGATCACCTGTAAAAGCCAAGTCACCTCTGTGCACCGAGTGGTGTCAAGTGGACTGAGGTGAGTAGCACAAACTCGGAATGGAGAAAAGGAATTACAGTGAGCCAAGGCCAGTGATGCCCTGGCAACCATCCACAGAAGACCAGCAAAGTACAGCATGAGCCATCCTGGCATCTGTGTGAGATACAAACTCACAGTGCTTCTTCCAGAAAGAGGAAACAATCCACATAAAGTAAATGAAGTGAAACAAATTTAAAAAGACTGACAACAAGTTATAAATTAGGTGAGTGGCATTCTGATGGGCCCATGCTTGGACAGAAAAAGGACATTAGGGTTGGGCTCAATGAAGTCATGTCAAGTGTATTCAAACATTTATTCTAATTTTAAATTAGTATCTGAATACTTTTATAGAGAAATTATATGCACCGATAATTGCCTTCTTTCCTCAATCCAAATCTGGAACATATAATTTGGAGAAATATAAGTTTACTTATGGGAGTAACAAGACAAATTATAAAAAATTGGCACTGACTTTAAAATGTAAAATATTTAGGTATAGGATATATGCTTCTGACATGACACTGGGCATATCAGCTGGAAAAATGACAAAAAAAAAAGGTAGGCTGATGAGTATAGAGAAATAGGTGATGAGTGCAGAGAAATAGGTGGTCAAAGATAAGTCAACCGTGCTAGTGAGTTTGAAGAACAGACACCCTAAGTAACATACCTAGCATTTGGGATGAGTTTTGATAAGAGTGAATGGTTTGAATATTAGTGGCACATATTGGAACACATATTCACTACCTCAAAGATATCCTCATAGGAAGATAGGAATAAAATAGAGGTAAGAAAAATAGTTGGACATTCCTTCCCCTACTGATTTTCAATTATGCAGTTTTGACACCATGTAAACTATAATGCACCAAAGGACTGGTTTCAATGACTATTTGTCTTTCTAATTCCCATTATCAGATTGCATGACTTTAAATATTAACTATATTATGATGAACCTTAAATTTATATACTTTGTTCCAACTGACGGATTTTACTTCTGAACACAGTCTATGTACTGTTTTGTACCAGCAGATATCTATTTGCTAAACTCAATTTATTTGTGTCTAACATCACATTCTACCTCACGACCTTTACAGCAATGTGTTTTCTTGGTCTTATAGCCTATGTGTGTGAGGCTTTGTATGCAAGTCTTTGTGATGTTTTCCTATGCTGAAGTATCTCTCCCTTTTTCTCAGAAAGGCAACAAAGGAGACTAGAGGTTTGAGGAGAGTACATACCATAAAAGTTTTTATAAAGAAACAATCAAATTCTAACTTCAGTAGAATAATAAAATGATATTGTAGGATCCTCAAAATCTAAAACTGAATAGTCCAAATTTTCCATTTTATATAAAAGACCTGAAGAAAAAGATCATAAATAACCACCTAATAAAGCACACAACGTTATTAGAAAAACTGGAATGAAAACCCACGCCTTTTTACCCTGTGGAGCATTCCTTTCATTTCACCAATTCTCAATCCTGACATCTTTACTAGCTACAAAGATTTTATATACAAAACAAACTTCCCCTTGATCAAGCAAAAATCTTAAATATATGCTTATAGGTCTTTCATTGCTATATTTTTAGAATACAGTGAAATTTTCTTTTCAGAATTGCAGGAATACACACACACACACACACACACACACACACACGGATTCCTAAGGTGTGAACCTACACAAGCCAGGTTGATTTATGATTTTAAAGATTAGCGGGAGAGATGCAAAGTGTGTTATGGGATCTGGACTTGCCCCTCAGCATGACTTTCAGCATTCTTGTTGTTTGTTTAAGGAATAAAATTACCACTCTGACTTGGTAGAGCCAACATTACAATTCAGTATAAGTACAGGTAGCTTTTCTTTTTATTTTTACAGAATATGTAATTGTATCTTTACTTGAAAAGTCTTTCCATTACTCAACTAGTTTGCCACCTGTTTTAGAAAAAGCTTTAGTAGGCTCTAAGGTATTTAAGTTGTCAACCTTAAGTGGTCCATGTTCAGTCTGAATCACACTGCATGATTCTTATAGATCTTAGATTATTATTTCAAGTCATGAGACTAAGTTAAAAAGTGCACAAGTATAAATGGTTCAAACCTACCTAGATTCATCTTTATCCCTAATGACAAAAATTTCTCATATAGTTCTTTGGAAAAAAGAAACACACTTTATTAATAGGATGAATATGTATCTAGAAGTGATACAAAAAATCCAGGAAGACTCAATTTATTGAAGCTGTGGGCTGTTCCCGCTCATCACTGAATTTACCACCACTCATCCTACCAAGTTAACTACTAAAACATTTTAGTACTTGGTAAGTGTTGACTATGTGTGATTAACTTTAATTATATTCTATTACATTTGAAAAAAAACAAGTATGTGAAGACATAATAATTATTATTCTCATTTTATACAGGAAGAAACTGAAGCTTTTGGAGATGGATCAACTTAATAGGGATATAATAATATTGAGTTCCCAGATAAAAGAGTTTGACTTCAACACCTACAATAGAAATCCTCTTTGTGGTGTTATTCACAAAATGTTTGCTAAGGTGAAAAAAAAGTGTGTGTGTGGGGGGGGTGCCTGGTCACCTAAGATCCCTCTGATAACACACTTGCATCTTTTCCATTTAATCATCAAAAACTAATTTACAACTGATATTAAGCTGGGGACTCAAAAGCAATTATTTTGTATCTGAAGACTCTTGCTCATGTCAGTTCACCACCTTGAGGCACACTGTAAATTGTTTCATGCAGGGATTTACACTACTCCTAGCAAAACCCTCGGCAGCCATACATGTCACCCATCTCTTTTCATTTCTAGTCTGAGACATTGGTCTTGGTTCTGATTCCTCACTCATTTTTATTGCCAGACTTTATTTTCTTTTTTACAACGACACACATGCATACAACACCCGCACATGTACAGTTGGGAGATCATTTACATATGGTTGGGAAGAAGGTATAAGAGTGACTGAGGGAGCTTATTAATTATTTTCACCAGAGATTAAAAGACTATATGAATTTTTCCTATTTAAAAGTCTCTCTTTAGAATGGCAAAGGTCTAAACTTTCACTTTATAGAGAGGATAGGTCTAAGTTTTCACTCTATATAGAGGTGAGGGGATGGGAGTACATTTTCTGCAAAAAATTTTGAAATTGATGAAAATTTACTTAAGTTCCTTGAGTTTAGGACCTATCAGTGGTTCTCTGAATTTTCCTCTCATGATGGTTGTTCTTCACTAGCATTAACTTGAGGATGCCCATGATAAGAACCACAAAATTTTGTTTGAAGTAGATCTTGGATCTCCTTAACTCAGTTTCCTCTAATACCTGACCTATCATCTTTGAAACAACTGAGTAGAGAATTCCAGTGCTGCAAACTTAAAAACATTTGACAGCATTAAATTAAATGGGAAGATGGTTTTATCATTCTGGGAATTTCCTGAAAGGCCCAAGAAGGTGAAACAGACACAACCCCAAGTAAGATTTTACACAGTCACACAGACACACCGATGCAAAATGAAAACAGATTTCCACCTGAGAATTCAAGAAATGTACTACCTTGCCCCAAACCGGTAAGAATCCGATTACCACAAGGATGGATAGTTACCCATGGCGAAGAACGGGATTCCCAGCAAGGTGGAGTTGTACTTTCCATCCGTGATGAAGAAGATCCCTGCTGCAGTGATGATGGAGATGCACACTGTGAGCACCCCCAGGAGGCCCAGGAAAGGCTTACTGCGCAAGCAGTCCTTCATGGAGCTGGAGAGGGTGGCTGTGGTCAGGATCAGCACGAGGCTCACCAGGACCTTACTTCTGGCCAGGATGCTGGTCTTATGAAAGTCTCTCCAGAGGCTAAAGGATGCTAAAGAGTGCAGTTGGAGGTCTTGGTGCTCCTCCTGAAGCTTCCTCATAAGCTTACAGAACTCATTCTCCCACTTCTCCCCTATGAGGTCTTGGGTGGCAGAGCCATAGGTCTGGAGGTAGTAGGTGATTTGAATGGCTCTGGCTGACTTGACCCGCTGGTCCTTGCTGTTTGGCACTTCCACTACCCCGCCCAGTTGGTGTCCAATAAAACTGTTCCTCCCATCCTTGAAAAGAAAATGGGAGACTTAAGTTACCAGAAGGATGCACATTCCAAGGGACAGTTTCTTACTCTAAGTGAAGGAGCACAAGGAAGGCAAAGAGAGGTGCTAATTGTGGAACTGATGTGGGTGGAGAGGCAAGTCCAGATCATATATTCAACCTTTTTTGGAGCTATGTGGGATACCATGCATGATGATCAGAATTAGAAAAGATGCAAAGAGTACTACAAAGCTACACAAGACTCACCACATGCATAGGGAAATGTACATGAATACTGTTATTTTGATTTCCCCAAATACCCTTATTCTAAATATTTCCTTCCATAGCAATGTTATAACTCCTTAATGGAGGATCAAGTTTATGATTCAGTTTTAATCAGAGGCATTGCAGGAGTTAAAAACATTTAAAAAATTGAATTATCTTTTCTATAACTAGAACCTTCTAGGGTTCTATACATACACCTACACCAACACACCCATACAAACACACCCACTCACACACATTAATACCTTGTTTCTCTATAATCTGGCAATATAATTTCATAGTTCAGAACAATACAAAAATATTCTTTCTCACAACTAATTTAATGATGTTGATGGGTTTCCTCAATATGTTCACTCATTATCATCTTCCCTCCAAATACCTGCCTTAGATACAGATTGATCTTTCCCTCTAGATGATTAGTGGACAAAACCCCCAAATGAAACTGATAAGATTTTCAGGAATGATTGCCAAAAGTTATCTGAGTTTCAGAGTTTGACATGGTGTAATATAGGCAAACTCATGAGTAAGAGTTTGGTAGGAGAAGCAATCATTCCTCCTGAGTGGACATGGAGTCCCTTAAACAGGTTCCCAACAGAAATTCTCATCCCATGTGCCTCATCACTCAGGAAGAAATTCCTGACAGCCATTACCAAGTTTTAGACCACCTGGGAATTTTATTTTTGCCACAATTGTCATGTGCTTCAATGGCAATGGTTGTCAGAATGTAGAATCTGGTAGCAGAAAGCAAGTTGAAAGACAGCTTTAAAAATATGCTGCAGGAATTGAGTGAGAATAGGAACTAAGGTGAACTTATGTCACAAGTAGAATGTGTGTGAATTGGATCAGGCAAGATGCTCATCTCATGGGGATATAAAAGGGTAAAGTCAGGACAGGAAAGAGTTCTTTCTACAGAGGACAGTGGTAAGGCAAAAAAAAATGCAGTAGTGTGCTAAGCATGGATGTCTTCACAGAACCATGGGGCATCTTGTACACATGTGAAATAATTATTGGGGGCTTGTTTAATCCAGATATCTATGTCTGAGGCACGTATTTGTATTTGTATTTTTAACATGCACTAAAGCAACTTTAATATTTGAGAGTCTGTTGCAAACACAAAAAGTTTAAGAAGTTTACAGAGAGTACAAATGCTGGTAGTAGGATCATCAAGAATTTTGATAAGTTCCATAGTTACTCCATAGACCCATTTTAAATAATCACATTAAATAATTAAAATCATCTCATTAGTTCAAATTGACCAATTCCAAATGAAAATGTATTTCTAGTAAGTAAATTTGATTTAAAGATTTTTTTTTTCTGCTGGGTATCTTCCACTACCATGGCATTTTTGTAATTTCCCCTTTTCTTCTCTTTAAAAAAAAATCAAATTGAAAGTTTGGCTGTAGGTTCCCAAAGTTCTCTCTTGATTAAATCTTTTGGAGTGTTCCAGCAGAAAGATGGGCAAACTTTGAAGGAGGCAGGAGCCTTCCCCCAGAATCGAGAGATTGTATAATCATTTGTACTTGTTCAGTAGATCCAAATTGTTCCTCAATTAGGCTTGATTATTTTTGTTTTATGCTTGATATAATTTTTGGCTCTGCCTTTCTGTTTCTGTGAAATCCCTTCTTTGGCGCAGACTTGTGCTTCTGAGGGAAAGTATTTAAAAAGCATTTTATAAGTATTTACTTAAGAATGTGCACTTTTGTCTGTCTTTACTCATTTCTGTCATCACAAAGGTTTCTCAGGGAACTTTAGCAGCAGCATGGAGATTATTTCTCCCTTAGGCCCCATTTGGAGACTACAGTGGATCAAAGAGGGTGCTGGTAATGTGTCTGGGAAAAGTCAAAGCTTTAAAGAAGACAAATATAGATTTTTAAATAACAGAACTTTGTTGACTTTGGATAACTGCTAACCTCCCTTTTGAAGTTGCTGAAGTTCCATTTTTTTTAACAAAAATAGTTTATAAAAGGTATGCTTCCATCCTATCTTTGTTCATTATACTTAAATAAATGTAACAGAATGAATTTCCCTCTCATATTCAGATCTTCTTTATGTACCTGAGCAAATTAAATAAATTTCTTTGGGTATTCTGGAATCTAAAGGCTCCATTGAAGAGTTACAACATGTATATACATTTTAAGACACTATTTATATGGAAATCTTCTACTATTTCATAAATGTGGCAGAAGAGTTTCTCTGTTCATGCTAATTCTTAGAAACTTCTAAGTAGGAGAAACAAAGAACAAATGCAACAAATATTGTAATTACATTTTTTTTTTTAAAAATGTGTATTAGTTTCTTTTTTTTTTTTTAATATTTATTTTATTTTTTTTAGTTATCGGCAGACACAACATCTTTGTATGACACAACATCTTTGTTTGTATGTGGTGCTGAGGATCGAACCCAGGCCGCACGCATGCCAGGCGAGCGCGCTACCGCTTGAGCCACATCCCCAGCCCAAATATTGTAATTACATTTTGGGCAGAACTTCTGGACTCTAAGCCATCCAGTAGGATTAGTGGAGAGAATGAATGATTAGGGTCCATATGACTCAATTTGCAGCAAACAGCTCACACTAATTGCATATTAAACCCATAGCTAGTTAATTTCCCTTCTAAATTTCAGTTTTCTTATCTGTAATAGAAGCAGATATGTAACTATGAGGAAATGTTGACATGATGTTGAAGTAAATTTGCAGCTCTATTTCTAGGAAAATATGACCTATATAGATATTTTGAAGAGATCTGAGAGTCAGGAATTGGTATTATAATTAATAGAGGCATGAATTGCTTATTTCACATCTTGCAAGATCTTACCAGTGACAAAGAAGAGCTGCTTTGTTTAAAAAATGAGCAAGCCTGGAGACTTAGAGAAGGAAAATCTGTTAGTCAAGGTGATGAACCATGGGTTTCAAACCAGATCTTCTGTTCCAAGTCTAATCCTTTCTAGAATCCTATGGGAATCAATCAGGGGAACCACTTCAACTCCTGCTTCTCATAAATACTCTTTGTGATTAAAGCTTATCTTACTCATAGATTCCCCTTTTCCAACATGTTTCCAACTAAAGCAATTACCTACCATTTAACACATACATTTTCAACTTCTTCCTCCCAAAGGGACTTACTTCTTACACAAGCTTCAAGATTCCTTTAAGTGCAGAAATCACCTTTATGTTCCAATGAAGAGAAACCTTAAAATAAAAATATGACCAGATGGCAACATGCTGTTTTCAATGAATCCCTATTTCAGTACATTGCTGAACTGGACTGATGTCAATAACATGAGATGAATTTAGGGCCCTAGTTCATATCCATGTCCAATTCTGCTCTTCTTCAATCTGTTCTCCAAAGTATAGCCAGAGTCTACTTTAAACAGGATCACATCATTTCCATGCCCCAAACTTTCCACTGGCTACCACTTGCTCTAAGAAAATAGGACCCTCTACCTGGCCTGCAGGGCCCAGCAATGGCCCATGGCTGGAGGAAACGTCTGACTTTGTCTCCTATCCCTCTCTTCTCCTCTTCTAGCCTCTCTTCCTACTCCTTAAATGCAAGTTAATTTCCACCTTACTTTGTATTTGCTGTCCTCTCTGCCTGAAATATTTTCTTACATTGGTCTTATAGTCAAGACTACTTGCTGCCATGGAGGTCCTAGCTTTGAAGAAACTATGTGAATTACACATTCTCAAGTGGGCACCTCCTTTCCTGCGCTCATTCTATTACATAGCCCTATTTTTTATATTCCTGATAATTATTCCCATCTAAAATGATCTTATACAATTACTAAATTGCTCCTTTTTTGTCTCCTCTGTGAGAAGATACACTTATTGAAAGCCAGCATTTTTCCTGTTTTTCTCACTAATAACTTCCCTATCCCTAGAACAAGGCTGTTCTAGAACATTCCCTAACCTTTTTTTAACTGAGTGAATTCACCTTAAGGTGTTAATTACTAATCATAGGTTTTTGGTTTTTTTTTTAAAGACTGTTTGACTAAGGTCAGAAAATAAAGAGACACTTTTCTCCCTTTTTCTATCTTCTTAGTCTGAATAACATTTCTTCAAAATATGTTCCTGTTCCATTTTCACTGTGAATTAAACAAGTGTGGTAAACTAGTCAACAGACAAGGGAACTGGGGAAAAGCTAGGGGAAAGGATTTGCATGCACCATCCTCTGAAGTCAAAGGATGGCATCAGACACCCAAGAAATGGAAGAGGGTGGTTGGAGAGGGAAGCAGGGCTCCTTTAGTTTTCCTTCAGTAAGGGCAGCAGAAAGCTCATTAAGGTGCTGGGATTAATTGTCCTTTAGTGAGAAATGACTGGTAGGTTGTAGGCAGGGGAATGACTTTATTTCCTTTTTTGTAATGCTTACTTTCATTGTGCTGTGGGAAAGGACTTAGGCAGTAGAGAGGACCCTGAAGGAAAGAGCAGTTAGAAAGCTCCTGCAGTATTTTAGTTTCTTAATGCAGCATAAGAAAATGTCAGTGGAGGCAGTGTCTGGCAGGTAAATTGTTCCAAGGTGAATCAATAAAAGTGCAGGTCATGATGCTATCTCATGGACATGAAGCATCTCAACACATTCTCTCTCCAGCAATTTAATATAGAAAAAAAAATTCTTGGATCCTTTAGCTTTTATTTAGATTAAGATTACTACTTTGTCGCTTTTAAAATCACCCCTACCCAAACCACATTCTCCAGCAAAAAGAAAATTAAACTCTTAGAGATAAACTCAATGAATAAATTCTTAAA